GGGAACTTGTGACGGGCACGTCTCGGAGGAATTAGCAAATTGCATAAGAGGAACTTTTATTCCAATTATAAATTAACACCAGCGACAAGACCCAGCACATTTTTACAGCCTCATGAAATAATGAACCCATCAAATCCAGCTCCATGCAAATCAGAAGGGAAAGCAGTATTAAAAGCTTTCCATCTTCGCCGGGTGGAAGCACGTATGCTGCCGGCGCTGAGCCGGGAGGATCACCAACATCCTCCAACTGGACCCATGGCACCAATGACTGCCCTGCCTCGTTACCCCAGTACACCACGTGTGTGCTAGGAATCACTTTCCCCCCCAAAAAAAGATGTTTCCCATGGTCTAATCCAGCTGCAGTTTAACCCCAAGAAAGAAATTCCGATTTTAAGTAACGTGCAACTACGCCTGGAGTGGATGTGATGGTCTCTCCTCCCCCCCCTGCAGCTTCACCATCCACTCACTATTCTCAGCTTTCCCGATACGTGACTTGCACAGATTTAGAAAGGAAAAAATACACATCCTCGAGGCACATTCTGAGCCAAATGACAGACACCACTGTTATTAAAGGGGAGAGTATCCCTTGGATATCTGTTTATCAAGTTCTCTAATCGTTCCCAAGGGTGCACACCAAAAATAGCCTAAAATTCACTGTGCAAAATGCCCAGTCCCAGACTGTATTCCAAAAAAAGCTTGCGAGCCTCGATTTGCAAAAATAGAAGAGGGCAGGAGTACAACACAATTACGTTTTGAGGGGGTTAATGGGATCCAGCCTCCTACTACCAACATCCACACGCACGCACCCACTCCACGCGCATCCATCCACGTGCGGATCCTCAGCCTGCTCATGAAAACCATTATGTCGCTGCAAACCACAGCCCAAAACATTTCAAAACAGTTATGAAACACAAGCCCTGGACCCCAGGCAGGAGTTTTGGCTGTGCTGGTCCTTCCTGCAGCATGAGGAGCACACACCAACCCAGGAAAAAGGCTTTTAAAAGGCACTTTAGTTACTATTTGCTTTAAATCTAAGGAACGGTCCACCTGTAACATGCTGCTTTATTGATTTACTCAGTTCTCAGAAAAAAAAAAACCACACACACACAAAAAAAACCACCAAACCCTGTATCTAGCTGACAAGAAAAAAAATTAAAATCCAATGGAGATGGTATTTCCAGGATGGAATTACAGCCCTGGCTCCCCGTCCCCAATCTTCTTTACACGAGAAGTATTGGCAAGCTCCTCGTTCTCACTGAGTAACGGCCCATCAGCGCTCTCCCTCGATTATATATTAACTCCTGGTTCTCCTGCAACATCTGCCCTCCTCTCCCTCCCCTAGAGCCACCTTCGACATGGATCAGCTCTCCCAGTGGAGACCCCGGGGATGTCCCAGACCCCCGCATGCCGCAGCACCCATCCGGGTCCTGGACGGAGCTCAGCTCCAGCCGCAGACCCGCACCCACCGCCGTGGGAGCTGCTCTCTGTACACCGACAGATGTTTCTGAGCAAAACGAAGCCTAGAGGTAGAGGAGATGAAGCTGATTAAGCCTCATTATCCTATTTAGCGTAATGATCACGGAGTCGAGAGGACGTCACGCAGCCGGGGAGCGGAAAGAATAAGGCGGTTAATAGACGTACGTAGGCACGTGTACGGCCGAGCTGCCGCGCAGCCCCCGAGGGGTTTATCATCTCCAGATTGCTTTCCCCTCTTCCCTGCCCATGCCACCTTCCCAATCCCACCAGCACCATGGCTGTGAATTCCTGCTTCCTCAGAGAAGTGTTTAAGGGCAGCGATCTGGAAAAGGCAGGAGCGAGGGAGCTCCTGGAAGCCACAGCTTCGACTCGGGTGCTCTGCTTCGCCCGCACCCAGCATCCCACCCAAAATCTACCCACATGGACACAAGAACGCTCGTTGAGAACTCCGACAGCCTGCACCACCGCCAGGAGAGGTCTTGGGGATCCAGCACGTGAAAATTCAGGAGCAAAAGCAGCCAAGGACTGTCTGAAAACCAGAGCCAGGGCTGGATGCGTCCTCTGGACTCTTGTGGGATTCCTCCAGGAAGAGGGAGGCTGGAGCAAGAAACTCATCACGGAAACCCAATAAAACATCACACTGAACAAAACCCAGCCAAGTCAGCAGAGCTGCGAGATAGATTTGAAGGATGAGAATAATAACACTTAATTCCAGCACTTTCATGCATTACAGTAGACCCAAAATAGCTACTCAGCGATCAGGGACCTACTGCGCTGAGCGGTATTTTTAAGTAAACTCTCCCACAAAGGCTTTGGGTCTTGGCATCAAAGACCCTCAGCCTCAACCCTTTTCAGTAAGGGCAACAGCATCTCATACACTCACCCATCACCTGCCCCCTCCCATCCAGAAGCCTCCCCAAACACCAGCTGAAAGCCAAATTTAAAAATTATTTAAAAAGTAGCCATCAGGTTAAACCAGAGGGAAGAAAGGAGAGAAACCTGTTGGAACATCACCAGGAGACAGGCAGGGTGTTCATTAGTGCTTTAGGAGATTCCAGAAACTACAGCAACATCCAGCGACGAAACCAGCTCTGCCACCACCTCCCCAGTCACTCCAGTGAGCCAGGAAAGACACACTCTGCGAGGAGACGGTTGCCAAAAAAAGGGAGAATCCCTTTTTTAAAACTCCTGAGGTCTGGTTCTGCAACAATCCCACTCTCCAAGCACACCCAAAGGCCCTGTTGCCGTTTGCTGTCCTGCACCAGCCCAACTGAGTGTTCCCAGGCCGGCATCTCCTCCTCCGTAAAACTCAGCTGAAGGATGAACAAACATGTTAAAGGCTCCGCAAAGATAAAGATGTCATAGATTAGATCTGCCTTTCGTAAGGAATTTAATGGCTACGGCTGTTCAGCATCATTAACCAGATTGTCTTGGAGGTTTAACCGTCCTGCTGTCCCCAGCTCTGCCACTGAGCAAACATTTGGGCACCACCAGAGCTGCCCAGCTCCGGTGGTGCCACGGTGAAGCCTTACTCCCTCCCTAGAGAGTGGGGCTGGGGTGATAAGGAGTCATTAAAAGCTTTTACTACCTGCTGTTATCCAGCAAACCAATTATGCAGGAGTGCCAGGCAGGGAGAGAGAGCTCTCTGCATGAAGAGCAGCCTAAAAATGGGTCCCTCGTCCTGCCCTCCCAGGGACAGTGTGCCCCACGGTCTCGCCAACATCCCTTCCCGCCCGACTTTAAGTGGGGGTGGAAAAAAAACCACACCAACAAAACAACAACTCTGAGATTTTAACCGATTTAGAAAGAAGCAAGGCTTGTTGGAAGCGAAGTGCAATGGCTTAAACCTTGTCTGGGCTCCAAGTAAACGAAGATGCATCCTGAGCCAAATTTCCCAGCCAGCACAGCTCCAGGGATGGCTCAAGACTCACCTGATTTTGCAGGAAGCAAAACACACAAGCAGCAGCATTAGCCATGAGGTGTAAACCCTCTCTGAGCTCCGTTTTAGCACACGGACCAGCTACCAGAAGTCCCACAGGACCAGAATGTGGTGGCACATGCTCTCCCGCACGGTGCAAACAGCTGTGCCAAGTCAGGGGAGGCAACAGCTCCTCTCCCAGTGGTATTTATACCGGATTTCATAGAATCATGGAATGGTTTGGGTTGAAGGGACCTCAAAGATCACCTAGTTCCAACCCCCCTGCCATGGGCAGGGACACCCTTCACTACCCCAGGTTGCTCAAAGCCTCACCCAACCTGGATTTAAAACAATATATAATTGTATATATATATTGCTCTGCTCCCCTCCAGACCGTCGTCCTCACCACCACACACACCAGTCACCCTCGTCACCGTTCCACCCTGCTCTCCGCAACGCAAAAATTTCATTTCCCTGAAGCTCTTCCCCCTCCACACGCTCCCGTTTCGAAACGCCGCGGAGAAGAACACCGGCCATCAGGAAGAAGCCAGTTCTGTGGTGCAACTGTTTATCTCCCCTGTTGGGAAACAGCAGCTTTGGGCAGCTGATCAAACACATCCCGGGCCCCATCCGGCACCGTCACGAGGGTGTTTGGACTTCGGGTTACTGAGAGCAGAAGGGAAAAAAAAAAAAAAGCCAGATTTGATGGCAACCAGCTTCCAAGAGATCCAGCAACCCGATGGCAGTCCCCAGCCCCCCCACCAGGTCCGGTGAAGAGTTTGGGAGCCCCGAGAAGAGGCAGGACACGGGCAGGCAGAGTGCACCAGGGGGACAGGTGTCAGCCATCCGACACCGCTGTCGTCTCATTTATTTGTTCTTGACTCTAATGCACCCATTTGCACTGGAAGCCACACGCCGCAACATCAAGCGATTTCCTTCCCAGCTGAGGATACGTGTGGCTGTACCTGGTATGAGAGGCTCCAGAAGCACAGGAGCCGGGGGGGCTGATGCCACGGGCTCCCCTGG